GTTGAGGTCCTACCACGGAATGGCAGAGGGGGAAGGGTCCTACTCAAACACAGAGGAATCAGGTTCTTATTATCAACACCTCCTAAAGGGGGGAGGGAGGCAGGCAGAAGCAAGTGGGTCTACTGCCATGAGCCATAGATCCGGCATCAATCGCGCACAGCCCAAACTGGCTCTCTACCTCCGTGAAGGAGCTAAGGGGTTGTAAAAGTGCAGTCACGAAAATGGCCTGGCAATATAAAATGAACTTGGACATAGCATTCGGTGCTGACAGACCCATTTTGGGGCTGCGCCACGTAGTCTACCTCAGCTTCGAATCCAAGCGAAGCTTGAATGGATGGCGGCGTCTAGCCGATTGATCAGGTTGTGTTTAAACTTCTTAAGTGAGTCTCGTACAAATAAACCAGGTCCAGCGTAAGGATGGCTTGGTACGGTTGGGTGAGCTGGGCGAGTTTTGGCCAAAAGCTCGATCCCTAGAGCGTGCGTTTTGCAAGTGGCATCGGAAGTCCGGCGACTCTATTTTCCTCATTTCTAGCAGAAAACAAACTTAAATTGAACATTATAAAAGGAACTCCCGTGCTTGTCCGAAAAACACACTTTTATTTCTTAACAACTTTCAAACTGAAAAGAATTATATTGCAGGTCCATATGGGTATGCAATTCTCAGAAGAAGAGGTGGATGAGATGATTCGTGAAGTTGACGTTGATGGTGAGATTTTTGAAGGAATCCAAAAACTCGTAGTTTTTCCTCTAGTATCATGGGATCCAACCCACCGCCACTATAGAGAGGCGCTGTGACGGCTGCTAACAATGAGGCATGTCACAGATGAGCAGCGACAACGGGTCCCGCTACCACCAATATGACCATTAGATCAAGGCCAAGCACTCTAGTTATATTCGGGATCAGACTTCATAGTATTGACCATTTTCGGATTAGAATTCATCAGTATTCTGGACCATTTGTGCCGTTTTTTTGCGGGGGGGGGGGCTGTGAGATAAAATCGCCAGTTCTTGATCTGAGCGCATCCACTACTCCACTGTCGCGACCTAGCACCATGTCAAGTGATCGGAAAGGATCATGTGGTAGGATACCAAGGAGTTAGTGCCTTGCCACCCTTCTGCTACATTGCCGGCCTACGAAAGTGAAAAATGCACGGTGCTTAACATCGCCTTATGGTTTGCGCACGCATGACTTATAATCGAAGCCGTTTGAATATGATTGGGCGCAGGCAATTATGTGGGAGTATCAGGCCAATATTTTGACCTCTCCCAGACGCATATGTTACCCAATCTCGTCCACTTTTGCCAAGGCTCTCACCCCTGAGGGCTGGACAAATCAAGCCACAGATTGTGTGCGTGGTAGGCCGCGCCTTTTGCCAATTGACCACCTCTGCCAAATTTCATGTATTTACTTTTTTTGTGAACTTTCCATTTTCTCCCTCTATTACTACTTCCCATTAACTTCGTATAGCATACATTATACGAAGTTATACGAATATCTTTCAGGTGACGGCGAAATCGATGGTACGAGGAATTTCGTGAAGCATGATGTTCCAACCAATGAGCCGGATGCCCCCCCCCCCCCCCCCCCCCCCCCCCCCCGCTGCCAACAAATTCTCTTTTATTTTTTTTTGCGGGGGCTCCAGTTCTACAATCTAGTGGACGATTTCTAGTGGCCCATCGGCAGAATCTGACGTGCACAAAAATAATCGGTTCACAGTGCATTCCCCAGCGAAGGTCTGCAGTCATCACATTCCCATGTTTCATAGGTGCAAGTATTTTTCCCCGCACACCTTTAAGGGACAACCGCTAGTCCCACGACTCATTACCCGATTTTTAGCTGACGAATTGTCTAAAATGTATCTGAGCTGTATATTTACTATTTATTTACATGTAAGTGATATCTTTATATCGCTGAAATGTTTTATGAATGGTCTTGTGTTGTGTGGAACAGGACAGGTTTGTGCTTTTGACGGTAATCAAGTCGAAAAATGCATTGTAATTTGGTGGGCGGGGCTTATATTCCCGCCAATGGTGGGCGCGCTTATATGCCCGCCCACCAGTTTCAGTGCGCCCAGCGGGATCGTAATCTTGACCTAATGCACAAATCTGTCCTTTCGTATTACAGTGAATCGCAATATGTACAGTTGATGCTCCTGGATACTCGAATAATAAACATGTGTTGTGAGACTTTGTTTCCCGGAGCTGATTCATTGAAATATCACTCGATTCTCGAAAATCAGAGCAAATATAATATCATATGGGTTCGAACCGGCGTTTCCATGAGTGACTTTCGCCTAATAGAAGGGGAAAACAGGGTCTTGGGGGGACAGCAGGCAGGGAAGTTAACGGTCGAGGAAATCCTCGACCATAGCTCTCTACCATGCGAGAGTAGTGCCGAGAGTGAACATCCGCGCGGAGAGCACAGACGGCACGGCATGGCGAGTGTGAATGTCCGCGCGAGAGATCGTCTCTGATCGGGCAGAGAATCCTCGACGTGCCGTTGAGGAATCCTCAAAGCGATATTCACCCTGCTGACAGCAGCAGATGGTGCGGTCGATTTCTGAGGGTAAAGGCACGCTTGAAGCGACTCAAAGGCAGCTATGGCGAGAAGCTGATAAGCTGTGAGGCGCCAAAGTGTCGGTAGTGTGGTGTATCGGCACTAGGAAAATCGACGAAGACAGTTGAAAATCAGGGAAACGAAGATATCAACGTTTTTTCCCCGACTTTATTTCATAATGGAGGAATTTGTCGTTAACATAGAGGCTTTTCGAGTAAAGCTCAACCTTGGCATCATGCCAAATATGATCGATACCAGCTGCTGTTATGCTGGCCGCAGCGACAGCTCAATTTTGAAAGCAAATCAAATGATGACGCTAAGTGTTTCATTTCAATACATTGCCGTTATCATTCGTTCCACATGCGCGCGGTGGGCGTGCCTGAGAACCGAGTACGCTTTTCAGGGATTTCCGGCGCTTCATCACACCATTGGTAGTAGTCCTACCGACGCGAAAGCACAACATATCACTGCTCTCATCCACAAAGGATTTTATACATTATCCCTATCAGTCTTTAACAATGCTGAATGCATTTTTCGCGCGTTCCTTTTGCCTTAAGGGGCCGCTGGTGCTGCGAGTGTTGCGGCAACTATGGGATGAGGGGTACGGATAAGGCACACAATAGAACGTTTTGGCACAGGTAGAGCTTTCGGACTTAAAGGCTCATCAGAGAAGAATTTTCCGGAGAAATTGACTCTGCTTGTAGAAAAAAAAGTAAGAAACCCCTTTTGTGCACTTTCGACAGTTGTTCTGCGGAAACGGCTTGTCTGTGGACGGTTCCGTTGTACTTACGGATAGCGTTGATCCTCTTAGCTCAGACATGGGACGCCTCCAGAAGCAGAAAGAGGGAAAGCTTCCTCCAAAAGGGAAAGGAAAGCCGAACGTATTAGTGGCTACTCAAAGTATGTAATATCCAGTGATTATACACTCAAGTTCGTTTATGGAGCATTGCGAAGTAAAGGAGGGTCTAGGGCTATTCCGAAGCGAGACGAAAGAGATGTACAAGCGGTTAACGGCGCCTGCTTTTCTGCATCTCGTCGCGAGATGGTGACGGTCAGGGTCAACCGTTACGTTGGACCGATGTTGACCGCTCTCCGCGCCGGCATTCACTCTCGCCACCCGCGAGCCGTCTGTGTCTCCGTGCGTACGTTCACTCTCGGCATTACTCTCGTCGTCGCGTTGGACTTTGTCCAACGGACGGTTGACCCTGGTGGTTAGGTTTGATTGAAGTGATGAACCCCGTTTTTCAAAATAAATTCGAGCATAGGGCGAAAAAGCTATGAGCGATGCCGGAATCCAAGGACAGAGGTGTAAACCTAGCCTGCGGGAAGCGGGTGGAACGATATTCACTGTGATACAAAAGTGGAAATGTGCGAGGTCAGAGTACCTATAAAAGCACACAAAGCCGCACGCCATTTTGCGGGCAAGCAAACAACAGAGTTCGTCCACTGCCCCACCCATAACTCTTATAATACCCTACCACATCGGGGGCCGTATGCTATGCTTCCCCGAAGCTAAGTGATCCAAAGTTTCCTTTAAATTTATTTGTTTTGAACGATATAGTTTCTTCATTTTCAGTGCATGTTTACTTTTACCTACATACATACATTAAATGTAGGCCCTTTATCAGGACAATCCTAGTCCCCCCCCAACCCTTCGGAGAGGATGGCATACGGCCGGGTTCATTCAATTGGGTGGCATGTGAGCGATTAAGTTCATATCGCGTTAAAGTGCTCATATGCTCCCTCAACTGAATGAGGCCCCCGCGTTCATTGCGTATAAAAACACGGAACGGGGGGCAAAAAGTAAAAAACGAGTAAGCGAAAGTAAAAGGATCAGCGTAGCTACACGTGGTGATACATGCTCTAGACAGTGTCTATGAAGGCGGCTTCGTCACAGTAGAGCTTTATTTTGATTTCAGATGAGGTCTTTTTTCACAATGTCTATGAATGGGAGCATAAATGTTCGGCAGCCGCTCGCAGTCCCCAAATGAAGTCCAAGTGATTGTAGTCATGAAAAGCAAGTGATTGTGGTCGTGAAGCACGGTGTTTTGCTGAAAATCGAAATCATCACTCCTATTCATGACTGGGATTCATTCATAAGAAGTGGGCATCTCAGTAAAATAAAACGACCTGAAGGTTTTCATAATCATCGTAAACTACTACGGAAGTCTCGGAAC